CAGGTGAGCTAAAAAGTGTGGAAAACCTATAACACTCTAACATTAGATATGATGTAATACAATGTATATCTATTTTCAAATTACAATCAAATATAATTAATACAGTAGACTCCACCTAATCGGATATCGGCTAAACGAATATATCGGCTATTGTAATATTATTTCAAAACACCAAACCCTTCCCTATATGTTTAATGTTAATTTTATCGTGTAATCGAATATCGGATATAAGAATATATCGGCAAATCGGATAAAAATATTCAGGTCATTTTGTTCAAAACCATGCACAATCGAATATTTTCAATGTTTTTCTGACAGGAAATGGACCCGGAAGTTACGAATTTACAATCTTGCAGACAAGAAGATTTTGTTTTTACTAAATAAAAGGAACTATTTCTTAATAAATTGTTGTCTTTAATCATTGTCTTCCTTTGTCATGTGAATTAGATGCCCTTTTACTTCAAATGGTTTGAATTTATTTATAAAAGATGCAAGACTCAGTTGAAAAGTTGACGTTGCTGTTTGGAGAATTTTGATTAAACTCTAAATGTTCACAGAATCAGAAATATAATCTAAACTGAATGTACCTCCTACTGAATAATTTATTGCAATATAAATATAAATCCCTTTTGACAAGAGAAATCTGACTTTTGTCAGATATATTTTTTTTAACATGTGCAAAAGTACCCACATGTCATGGACGCCATTTTGGATGTTTACATATTTGTGAGGAAGCCTCTAGAACTATGACCTAAATATAAATAGTCTTCAGAAAACGTAAACTTTATGCGATAATATTTTATCAATCATGATTATTTTCATAAATTTAAATTTGAATATTTAAAGAAATAAAATTATAACAAATACGATTTTGTAGTAGAGAATTGATAAGAAGTAGTGGATTCGTAAACGATAATCAACGAGCGACTTTAGTCGCAAGTTGATTATCGTTTCCGAATCCACTACTTCTTATCAATTCTCTAGCTTAACCCATTTCTAGTAAAACGACTGTCTGTTTTACGTTTTGACAATGAATCAACAATATTTCATAAAAAAAGTTTGGTATTTTGTCTTTTTTATTCTATAATAGCTGGAAATGAATATATCCACACGGTTCGCATCTATATTTAGACATTTGACAAGTTAACATAAGTTTAATATAACTTAAATGGGGTGTTAGCTCCCCTTTTTAATACCAGATTTTATTTTTGTATATACATATTTCATTTAATCTTTAATCATTACAAATTATTTAAATTAAATAGATTTTGGTATATTTAATTTATTCAAAAAGACATATATTGATATACAGAATTTATTTATCTTGTTTTGAAAAGTTAAAAAATTTTAATTACCAAAATTTAGAATCTTCAAAATTTATATATATAATATTTAGCAACGTGATTTGGTATAATAAAATCGTAACACCATTATGTCGTTCTTAGTCAATTAAATATTATTAGCGTATATGCCATAAATCTGCCATTTCATAATTCATATTGCTGTTTAAAGTATTAAAATTATGTGCTTACGATTTAAATTGAACAATTATATTTAAATTTTGTTTAAACTGTTTCCGTTTCATTTAAGTTAAGATTATTTTAGCGTTATTACATTTGGCATATATCGTTCACCGGTCAGTAAAATAGTTTTATCTGTGGTACGCATTCTGAATCCACATCAGAATTGCTCTTGCTACGGATGTACAATGAATAATTATGTTGATTTCATAAACTTACCATCAAGCTGTTCATAGCCGTGATCGTCTAGTCGTTTATAACGAATGTCATAACAGTGATATTAACAGTGCAAAGTTCGAACCTTGTACCCGGAATGAATTTTTTTCATTGTAATTTTTTTTTCTGGACCAAAATATTGTTTTAATCCTAGAACATGTAGAAGTATCATATATTTCATTTTCATATAATGGCGATGATTTTGTTTCTGTTTTTATTGTCAAAGAAGTAGTTTTAACCCATTTCTTAAAAAAAAATAACACCCAAAATAAAACAAATTCAATAAACATGAACAAACCAAGATATATATATTTCATTAGATTACAATGAGACAGAAATACAGTTAAATGACATGTTTTGACAAGTAAGCGCTTTAAGAGTACTATTTATATAATGATTGATGTCAGCCATCGTGGTCTAGTGGTATCATGCATAGACTGAAGACTGTATTGATTACGAAGAAAATACGCGCGGGTTCGAATCCTACACATGCCACTCGTTTTTGAGAGGATAAAAGATCGTAAGTTAAAAGGTTAAAGTTATAATATAAGTTCTCTTAAGTTAATACTATGGTCAGTGGATTCTTGAAAAATAATCTACAGTCAGAACAATAGACTGACGTCAGAGAAATGGGTTAAGTAGTAGAGAATTGATAAGAAGTAGTGGATTCGTAAACGATAATCAACGAGCGACTTGAGTCGCAAGTTGATTATCGTTTCCGAATCCACTACTTCTTATCATTTCTCTAGCTTAACCCATTTCTATTAAAACGACTGTCTGTTTTACGTTTTGACAATGAATCAACGATATTTCATAAAAATAGTTTAGTATTTTGTCTTTTTTATTCTATAATAGCTGGAAATGATTATATCCACACGGTTCGCATCTATAATTAGACATTTGACAAGTTAACATAAGTTTAAGATAACTTAAATGGGGTGTTAGCTCCCCTTTTTAACACCAGATTTTAGTTTTGTATATACATATTTCATTTAATGTTTAATCATTACAAATTATTTATATTGAATAGATTTTGGTATATTTAATTTATTCAAAAAGACATATATTAATATACAGAATTTATTTATCTTGTTTTGAAAAGTTAAAAAATTTTAATTACCAAAATTTAGAACCTTCAAAATTTATATATATAATATTTAGCAACATGTTTTGGTTAATTGAAGACTAAACACCGTTAAGGCGTTCTTAGTCAAAAACTAGAATATTGATAAGGTAAATGCCATAAATCTGCCATTTCATAATGCTCAAATTCATGTTGCTTTCCTAAAGTATTAAAATTATGTGCTTACGATTAAAATTGAACAATTATATTTAAATCTGTTTAAACTGTTTCCGTTTCATTAAGTTAAGATTATTTTAACGTTATGACATTTGGCATATATCGTTCACCGGTCAATAAACTAGTTTTATCTGTGGTACGCATTCTGAATCCCTATCAGAATTGCTCTATTACGGATGTACAATGAATAATTATGTTGATTTCATAAACTTACCATCACGCTGTTCATAGCCGTGATCGTCTAGTCGTTGGTAACAAATGTCATAACGGTGATATTAACAGTGCAAAGTTCGAACCTTGTATCCGGAATGAAATTTTTTCATTGTAATTTTTTTCTCGACAAAAATATTATTTTAATCTTAGAGGTATTATATACTTCATTTTCATTTAAAGGCGATGGTTTTGTTTCTGGTTTTACAGTCAAAGAAGTAGTTTTACGGTCGTAGCTTATATATCACACTTTATTCAAATTAGAGTCCGTTCAATGTTGACGTGATATAAATAAATTTGAAAAGAACATGAACAAATGCAGACATAGTATATATATATTTTATAAGATAACAAAAGCGAATTATCTCTGAGATAGAAATACAGTTTATTGACATGTATTGACAGTTGTTCGCTTTAAGTGTGTTATTTAAATGTTGATTTATGTCAGCACTCGTGGTATAGTGGTATCATGCATAGACTGAAGACTCTACGGATTATGAAGAAAATACGCGCGAGTTCGAACCCTTCATCTGCCACTCGTTTTTGAGAGGATAAAAAATCGTAAGTTAAAAGTTTAAAGTTATAAAATAAGTTATCTTAAGTTAACGAAGTGGTCAGTGGATTCTTGAAAAATAATCCACTGTTAGAACAATAGAATGACGTCAGAGAAATGGGTTAAAGTTTGGAGATTCTACACAGACATGCTTAGATCTATTTATAGCCAAATTAGTTTACCTGTGTGATACTGTAAATAATGGATATTAATTTGCTTATGAAAAACAAATAATGACAAACTATGGATGGTAGATAATAATTCACATAAATATTTCAGGACATTTGATTTATTTTAATAAATAAAGGATTTAAAAACTGCAAACAAATTTAATCATTACATAATCAGCTGATAATTTTTTACACAAACATCGTGGTGATGTATATGATAAAAATCACTCCATCAATCCTCCAGCCCTTTCACATATTTATCAATTGTCAGGGTTAGTAACATCTCAGGATTAGATCTACTCATTATTGCAGAATATTCAATGAATATACATTCATCGTCTAATTGAATATATCGGGTAATCGGATATTTTTAGCTGTCATTTTGGGTATCCGATTTGCCGGAGTCTACTGTAGTTCCAAATATTTTTTCTTTCATTTGTCACAAACTAATATAGATTTGTAACTTACCTATAAAATGTCAACAACTTTTATCTACACAATGTAATGTAATGAAATATATACCTTAATAAAAATAGATTATTATCTAATTAAAGGATTTCACTTAATAAAAAAAAATATATATATATATACATGTAGCATTCAGAAAATTAGTTTATACAAAATGACATATAAACCTGCCACAAAATTCCTCAAACAATTTACCAAAGAATGTCATTTAAAAAATGAGTTATCTCCCTTTGTACAGATTATATGGTTTAACATAGTACTCTAACATTAGTTATGGAGTTTTTTCATGGACCATAACTCTGGACTAAATCATCAGACCGGAACAAAATTCGACCTTGATCTATAACTTGTCATGATAAAACTATATACCAAATATCAAATCAATATCTTCAAGAACGAAGAAAAAAAGTGTGGAAAGCTGAGTTGCCAGACTGATGGATGGACAGACGGACGGACAGAGTGCAAACCTAAAGTCCCCTTCGACTTCGTCGGTAGGGGACTAAAAACAAATTCTTGCTCTGTTGCATTATTCACAATAATTTCTGAATTTCAAGTATACTTACAATTTCCCCATACAAGGCCATCCATTACTACAGTTCTAACACATTTTTCTAATTCTTTCATATCTGTTTCATCATCCCAGGGTTTAACATCTAATACAATACTTGATTTAGCTATTAAAACAGGTTCTGGAAATATAAATAGTAATAATTCATATTAAGAATATGTACTGTTTAACATATAATACTGTACTGAGTTAGGTTGTGGAGTGGAACCAGTTTATTCAAACCAAATTAAACTTTCATACCATCTCAATGCTCTTCAACTTTTTACTTTTTTTTTATTCGAGCGTCACTTATAAGTCAGTTGTAGTTGAAACAGGCTAGTGGAGTAAAAAATGATAGTCTTGTATCTATGATGATTTTTTTTTTATGATCTATTATGAATCTCTCTCCATTGAACCAGAAAATTAGTATATCAAATCTTTATAAATCTGAAAATAAGGAACTTAAATGCAATGATCAAACCATGTTTTCACAAAACAAAAATCAAAAGTATATGTATATATAGTGGCTATTACAAAAATTCAAATTCAGGAAAATATACTGAAACTGATGGCAAGATCACTGAAAAGACACTATGAAGACAATTTCCAAAAAAATAAAATAATTTGTAACATGTGTATTAAAGTCCTGAACAATGCAATATCACTTAAGGGTGTACTTAGGTCAGGTTTAGGAATTTGTGTCAGATGTTCAGACTCCTTGGTTTTTTTCCTATGATACAGGGTAAAATATTTTGCCCCATAACACCCATTTTTCTTTTCATATAAGACTTCAATAGCTAATGAAAGGTCAATTAACAAAATTTAAGCAGATTCTAGATTTCTTTTCTTTCGATTTGAGACCCAAATAATACCAATACAAATAAAAGGTAAAAGTCCGATTCAGCCTTTTCCTGCCATTTTAAAAAATTAAATATCTTGAAAAGGAGCTCCATAACCTATCAATATTTTTAGCTTATTTTGTTCCTTAACTAATGCTCTCCTGACTTATAGTATCAATTTTAAATTCTATATTTTTTTTAATTTCACCTAAGTACATCCTTAATATGATCAAAGTTATAGGACTTCAGTCATCTTCTTATTAACCTATTAAACCTAAATTCATGAAGACCATACAATCAATATATCTTGGTTGAATATCTAAATACCTGGGAAAAGTAATATTTCAGTGATGTACAACAATAAAAAAACTGTAGAACGGGTTTTTTCCACAACGATGAAACATTGTTTGCTATTTTTGCGTCAGATGGGACATTTAAACCTTGGCTGTGCTCATTATTCGTGTGTCATGACCTTTAACAAGGCATCTAAATTAAAAGTGAAATATTAATGAAGGGTGAATGTCTACTGTGAATTGGTGAAAAATTATGCACATAAAATTTCCTGATATATGAAATTCTCTGATATTACAGTAGAGGTGAGTTGGATTTAGCTTTTTTTTACATGTGCCCAGGCTGAGGGTATAGAAAACTTCCAGATTGTCTAGCCTATGCATTGTTTCTTTTGTTTATCAAGTGCAATCCATTCATGTATAAAGCAGGTGGAAATTTGTGTTCAACATTCAGACAGAACGAAAGATCTAATCTTGAGCTGAAATCAAAATGATAATCCTTGTGTTCTAGATGGTTTTAACAATCTAAGGCCAAAATAATACTGACTTGTGTTTAGGATACTCCATCTACTATTTTCATAATGCCTAAAAATGTCTACTTTTAAGTTTTTAGTTAACAAATTAAATACATGTTTGTGTCTTCTCTACTGGGTAGCATTTCACTTTACAACACGGACAAAACAATAACTGTTCATGATTAAAACAATCCACAATTGAACTAATACAGCAACTGAAAGCTTTAAATTAAATCAATTCAAATATTGTAAATTCAGAAATTATTGCAATGTTTTATTATTGCGATAAATGCGACAGGGTTATAATAGCAATAATTTAAACTCGCATTTTGAAATTTTCTAAATGAATTCAACAGGATTTTTCTCAATATCGCAAAAACTAAAATCGCATTTTAGTATAAAATGACATAATCTCAATAATAAATGCACGCAATAATTTCTGAATTTACAGTATTATGGATTCAATATTACTCCTTGGATACCAATTTCCATGGATTTGATGGGTATAGGTCAACCACAAATTTAAACTGATGAATGAATTACAAATTTTTTAAAGGCCTGTATGCAGACTTTGGCAAAACCACGATATCAAATATCCAAAAAAATTGGTACCCATAAAAATAAATAACGCAAATATGATTAATTATTCATACTTTTAGATTTTTTTTCAGCATATGCCTTTATTCTTTCTTGTTTAATTTTTTCAGCTTCTGCTTGTGCTTCTTCCTGCAAAGAAAAACATGACAAAATGAATGTTTATTTATGTTTTCAAGGAAACTTCATCATTCAGTAAGTATATATGATAAAAAAAAACAAGCATTCTGAGAGTATTGCATGGCAATTCATAGTCCCCTACCAGTTAAAAATTCATTGTACTGGAACAAAATGCTGACTTGATCTATAACTTGTCATGGTGTAAACTATATAACAAATATTAAGTCAATATCTTTAAGCATGACAAAAAAAAGTGTGGAAAACTGATTATTTGAATAAATTTTCCAAGTCCAAGGACCATAACTCTGCACAAATTCATCAGACCAGAACAAAATTCGAACTTAATCTGTAACTTGTCATGATAAAACTATATACCAAATATCAAATCAGTATCTTCAAGCATGATAAAAAAAAAGTGCGGAAAACTGATTATTAGAGTGAATTTTCTAAGTCCAAAGGACCATAACTCTGGACAAAATCATCAGACTGGAACAAAATTCACACTTGATCTGTAACTTGTCATAATTAATCTATATACCAAATATCAAATCAATATCTTCAAGCACGAAGAAAAAAGTGTGGAAAACTGATTTGCTGGACTGACGGATGGACAGACAGACAGACAGAGCGCAAACCTAAAGTCCCCTTCGACTTTGTCGGTAGGGGACTAATTATTGTGAATGTAAGTCTGCTGCAATCTCCAAATGTTATATGCATGAATGGTATGAAATCCACATTTTAAGTGTGGAAATCCCAAAAAATCTCTTTAAATCTATTGATTCTTTGCTGAACATAAATTAATTCACCTGACTTAAGTGACATAGATTGATTGATTCCTATTGGTTATTTCGCAGTGGCCAGGTTTTATTGGTTGATGAAACAAGAGTGCCAGGAGAGAACCACCAACCTACAGCAGGAAAACTGACAATCCTTGTCAATTAAAGTTTGGAGTTGAACGCACCTGCCACGTGCAGTGTTCGAACTCACAACCTCAGTGTTGAGAGGCTAGTGATACAGTTGTTGAACTACTTAGACCACTTGGGAACCAAGACTTCCTAAACTGATTTAGTGCATTGTATGTGCCTAAGAAATTTGCATCATGTTAAAGACCTTAATTTACCCCTTAAGTGTATTTTTCAGTTCTTTATTGATTTTATCGTTTCTGTATAGAGTAATGTTTACCCCAGAAAGCATCTCCTGATATTTTATACAAAAAAAAGTAAATTCACGAATAAAGCATTACATCATCGTCTCCAAAGAGGTCAAAATCATCTTCATCATCATCATCTGCTGGAGCAGGAGCCGGCTTAGATCCTGTTGCTGAACTATTTCCACCTTTTTCAAGGGCTGTGACTCTACTTTCCAACTTTGAAACCATTTTTTTCATATCATCAACAACTACAAAATTCAGAAAGTTAAACTACATCCACTCCTGTATTCATAGGTACTCCTTATTACAAATATACATAAGTCAAAGGGAGATAATCCTTGGTGATTTTTATTTCTAAGTTTGAAATAAACCTATAGTTTTATATTTACACCTATGTGCAAGAACTATCTTGTTTTAAATATGTACTACTTTCCAGTATGTCCTTTTTTTACCAGTCCCGATTTAGAAGTCTTACATCTTGTAAAGTCTACCTGAATTATTCTGCAAAGAATTTTGCTCAAACCAGTGCTAGGGGCCGTTTTAAACTTGCAGTGAGGTGAGTTTATTTGCATTGCGTTGAAGGCCTCAATGTGACTTTGAGATGAAGAACAGCTGTTCCTTTGCTTTTTGTGTTTTTTGCTGTGCATGTACTGATTTTGTGTCATGGATGGATACCCCATATCCTTTGTTTTTCTATCCTATTAATGATTTGAAATTTCTGTTATTTTTTTATATTTACATGTAAGTTGTTTGCACTTGACTATACAGTCTGACTTAATCATTTCAAAATACGATTTTTGGAGAAAAGTAAATACTACATACATGTATGCTGTTGGATTGAAGTTATGTCAACTCTAAAGCACAAACCTACACAATTTGCAGGCAACATCAACAAGGTTCAGTTACAAAGGTTTAAGTGGGTGAACTTATGATTTGAAGAAATATATCATGTTCAGAGTTCCTGTTCAAGTTTTCTTTCCAGTCTACTTAAAGTACAGAAATAACTATAAATAGAAAACTCAATTAAACTACCTTTCTATATCAACTGATGATTATACGTACATGAGGGTCTGGATGGGCAGATCTTTATTTCTATTTTCTTTAACTTTTTAAGCAACAATTCTTTTCTACAATTTTAAGAACTCCATTATTTTCAATTTTGTATCCCCCCTTTTTTCTCTCTATTTTTTGGCCCATTATTATTTATTCTGCAACCCCCATCCAGACCCTCATCATAACGTCCACTTTCTAGCTTCCTGGTGGTACTGACTTTTCAGTATTTATTACCGGTAGATGAAACTTACTCTTCTTTAGTTCTTTATTTTCTGTTTCTAGTGTGTTCATTCTGTTGCTGAACTGTCCATCTCCTCCAGAAGATAATGCTGAACCACCACCCTACACAGAAAATAAATGTAATTTGTATCCTCTAAACAAAAATCAATTATTGTAAATATTACTCCCTGAACAAAGATCCATTAAAAAGGTCATGAAGGTATTGTAATATAAATCTATTAATAGCAATTAACAACAAATATTAATCTCCAAACATATAACAACTGTAAATATTCTATTTTTTGCACCAAATAGTGGTACATGTTCATAAATTACAGCAGTCCTTTCTTAACCTATGTGATTCATAGACGTTTACAGTTGACAAGATGCCTTTCAGAGCTTTGACACTGAAATGACTTATTGCATGCAGTTTGAGAAATTACCAGTGCATCTCGGAGATTTAGCAATGAAATGACTTAATATTACATACATTTTGAGATAGAGAATTTATCAGTTTATATAATTAAAACTTGACAATGCTAGAGATACAAGTTCTAACTTCTATACAAGTTTAATAGAACTTTTGGTCTTGAGCTTTAGTAATATGAAAGGAGATGTCAATGGAATTGTTAAAATTGTTCTCTGTAATTTGACATATAAATTTATCTGAATATAAAGTCATAAATGTAAAAATAAATGTGAGCATTTATAACAAGAAATCCTTATAAGGACTATCTAAATAAGATTTTTTTTTAAAACCATATTCTTATAGAAATAATACATGTTGTGTGTGTCTAGATCCTGTTGCATCTTTATCATCCATAAAATCATCACAGTGAAAATAATTTCTGATTTTACAGATCCAACTACTGTGAATTCATTATTATTCAATGTTATTCATAGAATATCAATTTTCGGTGGATTTGTGGGTATAGGTAAAATGCAAGTTCAAATGTTCAACAGAGTACAAATTAACTAAAGGTTTGTTTGTAGATCTTGGTAAAACAAGCATGAAATCAATTATCTACGGAATTACAAGTATTCCTGATCAATGAAAATTGATATCCTAATGATCCACGAAAATAAATGAATTTACAGTATGTATCTATGTTTGACAATTTATTTTCAGATCTAGATAATAACTATGCCAACTATTTTAGTGACTGTAAACTCCATGTATAATTACAACAATGAAAGCATACCATTAGGGCTGGTTAAGTCATAAAAAATTAGGCATAACTTTCTCAAATCAATTTTCAATAGTCTAAGATAATACATAACATTACAAGATGAAGTGTGTGTAAACTCTGCTTTTTTAGGTTTGAGAGACCACGCTGTCCCCAGTAATTCAAGTAGAGCTTAAGCTGTCTTCTGGCTCTGTATTGAAGTATGGAATTATGGGTAGACATTTCATTTTTTCAATTAACCTTTTAGATAATTTTTAATTTCCCACTTAAGTGTGACTACTGTTTGTTTTATCAATCTTAATTTACAATCATTTATGAATTGTAGTTGTCAATGATATAATAGAATTGAGAATGGAAACAGGGAATGTGTCAAAGAGACAACAACCTGACCAAAGAGCAGAAAACAGCCAAAGCCACCAATGGGTCTTAAACGCATAGAGAAAATCCTGCACCAGGAGGCAGGCTTCAGCTTGCCCCTAAACAATAATGTATACTAGTTCAGCAAAATGGACTCTACACTAAACTCCAAAACATATAAGTCTGAATATGCTTAAAATATCAAAAGTGCCATCCATTTTTGTTAAAAATGGTTTCAAAGAAGCTCAACCCATCATAGTTAAAAATATTTGGACATTGTAATCTCCATATAAAGTATATCATTGTATATAGAAGTTTGCAAACTTCTCCTAGAAAAGGACTTCTTATTTAACTCAACTGCTAAAAAAAAAATTACTAATTCCTTGCTCTTTTTTTTTCAAAACCAAGTAGGTCCATGAAGACAGGTTTAGAGAAACTAAATAACAATTTTGACCTTGAATCTAATTAAGTCCTGCAAATACATGAGAGATGATAATCATGATAATGAAAAAAAATATATTACAAAGTACATGAAGTAAGAACATCATCATTTGATTATGAACATGAAAAATATATTGAAGCAAAATGTAAATATTCTAACAGAAATCTAAATACAGAAATGTTGAAAATTGTCAGACTGGTTACCATGGTTACTAAACATGCTAAAGAGTCAAACAAACATGGATTTCATCAAGATCAAAAGTCCAATAAAAAGTTCTGTATAAATTTATAAAATCATTAGTTAAATTTAGGTTTTAAACTGATGTATAAAACAAGTTGGATCACCTAGGTGAGCACTACGGTGTACACACTGTTCAGCAAACTTGAAAATAATTTTCAACATCTCTGTAAAACAGGAAAAAAAAATAGAGAATAATTCATATATATACAACATGAATTATCATGATTATAAGAAGAAAAAAAGTGGGGGAATATTCTATAAACAACATGTACATGATGTATAATAAAGAAAAAAAAAAATCAGAAGCATTTTAAAATAACAGAATTTTTTTAGCAAAATATACCAATACCTGGATGGTTGCAAAAAAAAGAAGAGTTGAATATACAGTAAATTAACAGAATTTCATACATGATTTGATCCATGAGTACTGAAAGTACATAAATTACCTCTTTTAAAAGAAACCAACTTACACATTTTATAAAACTGAAAAGCAACAGCATGAACTTCTGTTCTATTTAGATTTTTTTTTTAAGAACTCATCTTTTAAAAACAAAATTATTAAAAATTTACTTCAATAAACTTATTTCAAATAACAACATATTAAACTTTTTTGAACCAAAAAATGGCTAAGATACTTAAATTTCATTTAAATTTTCTTTAAAAGAAGTTACATTTTTTTATTATTTAATCTATTTACTCTGTAGGGTTCTTTTTACACATAAAGTGCATCTTAGGCTTTGAATACCAAAATGCATACTTATTTAAAAGTACACTGGAGTGTAAGCATTTAAAAGTTTTTTAACATTTTTACTTAACTTCTGAATGAACTTGTATACAGAAATAAATATTTCATTTGAAGCAAAAAGCAGTGAATGACAATCTATTTACTAATAATCAACGCACTGTACTTATTTTGCAGAATCAAAACACAGAGGAAACAACTTATTGTGTCAGTAAATTTACTCACAACTTTTATAGACTGAATGCTTTTAACAGAGCTAGACATAATGTATGGAAAATTTGGCCGTTGTTGAAGACTGTTTGTTGTCCTTTTAATAAATGTATTTTTGTTTATTTTTATTGTTTGGTTGCTATCTCATATGCATTGAAGATTTGATTGATGAAATTTCTTGCTGTATTACAGTTTTTGTAAAGAAATAAACAAGTATAATAATATTACCAGTATTTAAATTTAAACCTACATTAACTCTTGTAATTAATTCCATAAAACTTTACATCGTACATTAATTTTGACACTTCAAATCACAGTATACCCATCTATAGAGGTCTGCATACCTTAACCTTGGTCTTAAGCATTTGTAAACTGAAGTAGGACATGTAGAAATATATATATATACTGCAAAACAAGAAGCCCTGGCCAACTGTAATTTCAAGATATGATGTAAAAATTAACTTTGGGTAGGCTTATTCAATTTTAGGTGCATTGAATAGACTGTTTTATAAAAGCTATCTTCCTGCATTATTCGATAAAGAAAACTGTACAACCTTTTGGTGTGTATTGATGTATAACACGCACCTCCTTTTTTGGCCCATGTAACTAGAGGGAAAATGCGTATTATACACAACCAAATACGGTAATTACACAGTCCTCTGCCACCAAATAATCCTTCAATAAATTACTGTAATGTAAAGTGATATTTATTATAGAAATGTTTAGACAAAAAGGACAGATAGCTACTATAAAACAGGCAGTTGTAACTAGATTGCTTTGCACTAAATATCTACATGCTCAAAAGAATGAAATAACAACAGCAATTTTACTCACAGAAGATAAAGCTTTTTGAATTTGTTGTCTGGCTTCAGCTATTTCATTTATTAATTTGCTTGACCCAGAATTCTCTTTATTATTGACCTAGAAATATATGCATTTTCTATTTCAATATTTAAAATCTATTTAATTAGCCAAACAAAAATTTTCAAGAATGATTTATAAATTTTTTTGTATTCCTAAAAGCTTGCAGTTGTTTGCCCTTTATCATGATAAAATGACAGCCACTCTACATTATAGATAATATATATCATATCATAAAATAACTATTATGTACACTTTACCCCATATGGATTATGTTATTTCCACACATCCACGATGGGACTGTGGGAGGGCACAGATTTAACAAAACTTCAAGAAATTCCCCATTCCCATTTCTTTTTTTTCCATCATATTTAAAGAATTAAACCCCTATTATAAATTATGTAAGCTTTTGAATTCAAATGTTTTTAATAAATTTATGGTTAAAAAAATCTCATTGAGTTGTCAGAAACGGGCTGCCCAATGTGGAAATAACAAAAACCAATATACCAATCGAACATTGCTTTTTTTGTGTTCAATGTTTTTTCAGATCTGATCACTTCTAGTTTTCTATGTGTATGTTCATTTTATTTTTATCAGTAACTATAATGGTAACCTAATGAAATCTTTAGAAGGCCAGAACAAATAAATTGTGTTTCCTATTTCATCCAAAAAAAAATTAGGTAGGGTCGGTAGGTAAAACAATTTATTTTATGGAAACACTTTATTTTTCTTCTTCTGTTTTTTTCCCAAAAGGTCGTGCAACAATTGGAGTTTTTCCAGTCTGTCTACATTCATCAATACACTGCACTGTTGTCGACAAGCCATGCTTGTTTTTTTTTAAATCTAGGTTCTTGATATGCTTTACTTGTGGGTATTAGTGGTAATTATCAAACACTTTGTAGATCAATAGAAATCTAAACAAATAATCGGATCTGGAAAGACCCCAAAATTTTGATTTTTTTTTATGTCGCCAATAAAATGTTTAGGGTCGGCGTTGGAAATGGAGGTAGGGTCTGGAAACTGGAAACTCAAAATTTATTTATTTTGGCCTAATAAAATAAGTGTGATATATACTACATGCACTAATATTACTCATAAATCATGATATACATATAAAAATAAATTTTTGATCCAAAATTTACAATGTTACAACAACATCCTTCCTATATCTTAAATGATTTTGATGATGAATACATGAATACATTTCTATAAAAAATACATGTATGTGAAAAAACCAACAGAACTGTTTTCTGCCAATTTTTTACATGCTTTCATCTAAAGAGCAGACACACGAACATATATCTTTTTCAATTTATATCATTTCTTTAGATAATGCTTTCATCTTGAAAAATTCAATATGTACAAATACTGGTATCCTATAGCTAGTAAAAGCTGAAATAGAAAGGTTAATACAGATAATACATTGCTAAACAAATTTGTTAATCCTGCCCAAAGATCTTAATAGTTGTACATAGTTATACGCAGACTTACAGATGTACCTGCCATTTTACACTGATAAACAGCTTCTGCACTTTCAAATTTCTGTTGATCTCTCCATGTTGAATCTAACAATAGTGGTTGTGCCATCCTGAAAAATAGAACCACTAGATTAGGCCAGGAAAAAATGGTTTCCCCTAACTCGACTGAAAAAAAAAAAACGGCTGTGTCTTGTTCCAATCCAACAATGTTAACAAAAATTTTTTTCATATACGTTTCAGTTTTGTTGTTTAGAAACATAACAATGTCAAGGTAATTTTTTCCTGCATTAGTTTCTAGACTGCCAAAGCGCTTAACTAATTGATTAGAAAGAAAGCAATGATGTAAAGCATTTCGCTTCCCTGTTGTTTAGATCCCCGAAATGGTCAATCAGTACCAAGCGCCAGTTCTTTATGTTATTAAAGTTACCTAAGTTTAATACCAGTTGTCAATAAATAATTGTTTTACATGCAGTCTGTAGCAACACAATCTGATACGTGCACAAAAAAAAAACTCCTGCCTGCCGGGCCTTGAAAATTTTAAAATGTCATGAATGTTATGGGAAACCAACAATCCTTTTTCCTGGCGTTATAAGCATATACATCTTATGTATAACAAATTTAAAACAATTTAAGGGGTTAACTTAATAATTGTTAATGATTGCTGTTTGCTATGTGCCAACAGGCATATATTCCATGCATGTACAGTACAAAGATAGTTGTTGCTAGCATTCATTTACGTACTCTATTATTTGTATTTATTTTCACTATGCCACGTACATGTATGCAATTACCATGATTACATTAGCTTCAAGTAGAACATTGTAGAATATGATATATACTATAAATTATGCATGTTTCTATTGCAAAACTTTAATAACAATGACATTCAAACCTATATATATCATGTATACCAATCCATCATGTCCATTGATATTTTAATCTGCATTTAAACAGCATTGCCTTGCTAGGTAAACCATGTCTTAAATTAACAAACCTTAGTAACTTTGAGCTTACTTGTGCATGTTTAATAGAAATTATAAAATGTATTTTAATCAAGGCTGCACTTTAAAAAAATACAAAAATGTTCAGCCTAAGCATCATTCTCTGACAGCTTGCAAACATAGTACTAGGCAACAGCAGCTCTTAAACCTGGTATTGGGTCTGTTTGCGCCCAATACACGTTCGCAACCCACATATTCACCCCTAGGGTCAGTTCGCACCCTATTTTTATTCAAATACATTGTTGAATTATTAGACGTTTTTTAGATTTTATATATCAAAATATTCGTATTTTCCTGAATAAAAATTCTGGAATTTTTAAATTGAATTCAATTTAATGCAATATTTTATTGGAAAGAGTACATTTATATGTTGGTACCTTCAATCTTCTTTACGCATGGAATCAATGCTCTGTGGGTACTTATAGCTAACATGCAACACCATGAACACCTTAAATAAAACATGTGCTTTGTGCCCGGTTTTTGTGTTATTCGTTATTGTCGTGGCAATGTCATTGTGATGAGCTTGTATCTTCCGCCTTTCTTTTAGGAGTCTTAAGATGAATGAACTTCATGACAATTTTTTTATTCATTATTCATTTCTGTCAAAATAATTAGCCCTAATAATACACTAAAGGAATCCTGTTTACGTTTTAAGAATGTCACTTTATTTTGAAACAATAAAAACCTTATTTATAGCAATACACTGACTAAAACACGATTAAAAATTTATTGAACACGAAATCAATAAAAAAGTTGCGAACGTGATTTTGGGCGAACGGACCTGGATTCCTTAAACCCTTATTCATTCACCTTTGAGTGCAATAACACGACTGACGTTTGGGTTACAATTTGATGTTACAGGAGAAAAAGTCTTGATGCAATAAAAGTTCCGCCTGAGGCTGAGGCAGTACAGTATCTCATTGTCCCCCCTTTTTCATTAAAGTGGTACACAATGTTAATAATTGCATCTAAATATCTTTTGACAATGTTGATTGTATACAATAATTGTCGTATTATCTATATGTGATTTTAAAATAACTTTCTATGTGAGATTTCGTACTTTTTGATATATTTTTTTTCTGAAGCCGGCTTTGTTCCACGATGTATGGGGAATAAAAGAAAGATTTTAAGTGCCCAAGATATAATTTACAGAAAAAATACGGACTAACTGAGAATAAAATCCGAAAACATAATACACTGTACACTCTTGTAGAAATCAAATCTGTCATGACACATCAAAGGAAAAATCATTGTAAATAAAATGAACCATAATATCTTTTCTAGTCAACTATATCTCTCAATATTTATTGATTGCTGATTCTTGTTTTCCGGAAAATAAATGATCCGAACTTGACTCAGTGTTTACACACTGATTACACTGACAACAATTCAGGATGCAAAGTTCATTGAGATTTTTTACAAAATTTAGACAGTCATGCAGCGTGGCATTCAGGTTTTTGAGGTCCCAGAGGAAGGAATCATATAAACATTTCAAGAAAATCCAATATCCATTGTTTCCTGTACTGGCATTCCATCCTTTTGCAACAGTGCATGCCTTAAGTTTTGGATTTGGCAAGAAAGAAGAGGTAAAAGAGAAAGAATTGACCAAAGAAGAATTAATTATTATAGAAGCTGATAAAATTTATACAGCTAATGAGATACTTAAACTGTATGATTTTCTGATTCAGTACAAGGATTGTAAGAATGATGAAATTTTGTGGAGATTGGCCAGGGCTGCGAGCGATAAAGGAAAACTAGTTCAAAACACCAACGAAAAGAAAGCCTGTTTCTTTGAAGCCTTTGAATACGTCAAGAAAGCTCTAGAATTAAATGACAATAATTTTGCGTCTCACAAATGGTATGCCATACTTCTAGATTACACAGCAGAATATGAAGGCACGAAAAAAAGAATTTCAAATGCCTTTCATGTGAAGGAACATTTAAAGAGAGCCAATGAATTAAACCCAAAAGATGCCACATCTTTATACTCTCTTGGATATTGGTGTTTTCTGTTTGCAGACATGCCTTGGTATCAAAGACAAATAGCTTCAGCATTGTTTGCTTCACCGCCAACTTCAACGTATGAAGAGGCACTAGCTTATTTTGAAAAAGCAGAAGAAACAGATCCCAATTTCTACAGTATGAACTTATTAATGTTAGGGAAAACTTACATCAGGATGAAGAACCATAATATGGCACTGAAATATTTAACTAGAGCAAAAGATCATCCTATGAATAAACCAGATGATGAAAAGGCTCACAAAGAGGCTCTGGAATTATTAAAAAGTATGGGTGTGAAATTAGAGGACCAGCAATAAAAATGACTTGATATTATAAGGCTGTTCACTGATGTGTAGGAAATTCATACAATTAACTTTTTTATAGACTACTCATCTGGCTCTTGAAGTTTCTTTTAAACTCAGGTGTGAAACTTATGGTGCAATTGTTCAAATCAATAACTATGTACAATTTTCAAAATACATGTAGTATTTTACAATTTACCAATTTAAAATGTCTGTATTAAACAGTTATTTATTTGTGTTGGATGGCTTAATCAGTCCGACATGTCCAAATAAAAAAACTATATCGCTGAGACAGGTCAAATAAGTTCAAGGGGGATAACTTTATCCAGTTAGTTATTTACATGTATCCACCTCAAATCTTGATTTCCTGCTTTCCATTTTTCCATGAATCTGTATGGTAATGTTTCATATATATATATATATTTTATTACACTTCTTGAATGTTTATATAAAAGCATCTATTAAATCTATGAGGGGCCTGATGGGGGGGGGGGGGGGGGGGGGTCTCATCACGATTCACGAGTTTTTTTTTTGTCAATCACGATTCACAGAAAATAAATTTCCATGATCACGGATCACGAAAATATAAAAAAAAAAAAATCTGTAGAAAAACAGATCTTAATAGGGAAAATGCACCGATCACAAAGAACGAAAATAACCCATCAGGCCCCTCATCTATAGCTTTCCAGGAAGTTTCGATATCTCACTAAATGATTTGATAATTATAATTCATGAATGGAATTGCAATACCATGTACTAGTTTACATTAGATTTTTTACTGGTTTAAAAATTGTGGTTCAAAAAAGTTAAATGCTGTAAATTCAGAAATTATTGCATGCATAATAATATATAATGCATTTATTTTTGCAATTTGTATAGAATGGCCAAAAATGTGAGAGGAATTATTGCAATTTCAGGAAAAGCTGCATAAAGATAAATGCATCAGATATCAAAATATGAGTTCTTTTATATATTTAGTTGCATTATTTACATTAGTAAATACCTTGCAATAATTTCTGAATTTACAGTATCATATATATGCCCTTCTCAAAGAGAGGCAAAGATACCAAAGGTACATTCAAACTCCTTGTTAAAAAAATAACTGACAACACCTTTGCAAAAAAAGGAAAAGACCAAAAGACAAACTACAATACACAACACAACACAGAAAACTAAAGATTGAGCAATGCAAACCCCACCAAAAAAACGGAGATGATCATTGGTGCTCCAGAAGGGCAAGCAGTTCCTGCTCCATATGTGGTACCCATCATGTTTCTCGAATTATGCTAGCCTCAATATGTCTAGCTGATATGTTTTTTTTACCCCCAGGATACTACATTTCTCTATAGAATAGAAAAATAGTCGTCTGTAAAACTCCTCTCAAAGTCAAGGTTCTCATTAAGTATTTTTGAAGGCAATTACAGGGACTTGTCAATTTTGGCTGCGGCGTGTCCAACAGAGAGAAGATGAAACTTTATTTCTATATAAATTTCTATATGATGATATATGTGCTCAGTGGATACAACATTTTTACAATCTTGATGCATCTTTGGACTCACCAGTTTTGAAAATGATGAGTCCAGAGGGCTCATAGACTCACCTTATAGAGAACCCTGCAAGTCATAAAATTTTTCAAACTAACAAGTATGTGGAGTATACATCATTGAGACAGCTATATACCCAGCAACATAATATGTTAGTATCATGTCATGTCATGCATGTTTTGAATCTTTCTTAGTCTAGACAAGCTGTAAAAAGAGACAACAATTGGGCTGCCATCATCACAAGTTCTAAATTAGATAAAAACACTTCCAAGTAGATTTTGAGTAGGTCATAAGTGTAGCTCCAACATGGTCAAATCCGACCTGCGACATTGTGGGGTTTGGTTGGAGACTTTGAGACCTAATATCTCATTTAAAAAGACCTGTGATCTTTACATTCTTTAAAAATGACCAAAACCAACTTTCTTAAATGTGCTTAAAGATGTTAAAAGATCTTAAAAGAGACCAGAGGCGATTTTAAAATGTGACCTTGTGACCTAAGGAGGTGGTACCCTACTGGAGTCCCAATAGTGGAGTGCTTATAATATTTCAATAAGAGTGGACACACTGAAATGTCTCGCCTGTTTTACTTATTGAACTTATGTTGTAAGTCTGTAATATGAAGGTTTTAATACAAGTTAAATATCACATAAACTTAATTAATGTTATCAATTTTATATGAAAATGAGGTCACGGTCAGATGATTCATGCCAGACAGACATGTACACCTTACAATAATTTCATACACCAAATATAATGGTCCTATTGCTAACAGTACCTGAGAAACAGATCAAACTACTAGATCTTAACATTGACCAATGAACCATGAAAATGAGGTCATGGTCAGTTAAATCATGCCATACACCATATATAGTTGCCCTATTGCTTATTGTATCTGAGAAATAAACCAAACCTCAAAAACTAAACATTTTCCAATGAACTATGAAATTGAGGTCAAGGTAAGATGAAACTTACAATCATTCCATACACCAAATATAGTTGACCTATATATAATGTTTATAGTTTCTGAGATAATGACTTGACCACTTAACTTTAACCTTGATCTCAGATCCATGAAATGAAGTCAAGGTCAGGTGAACCCTACCTAACAGACATGCAGACAATGCAAGGAACCCATTTACAAAAAAAACTTTGGTTTTTTCAAGCAGTCACTAAAACCATGAAAATGAGGTCAAGGGCAATGGACATATGACAGATAGAAACTTCGTATTATAAGGCATCTTAATACACATGATACAAGGTATGAAGCATCCAGGTCATCTACCTTCTGAAATATAAAGCTTTATACAAATAAAATTACGCCATCACCGCGGCCGCTGGATTGTTATCCCTGTATCTCTCTTTCAGCAACTTTCGTAGCAGTGAAGACAAACTATTATATCTCATACTTATTATCATTCTGATATAGACAACAAAAAGTAGTCTAGAATCTCTAAAGAGCCTGTATTGCTCACCTAGGTCTATGTGCAAAATCAACTAACAATGGGCTCTCTCCAACATTGTAAAATTTCTTTTTTGTTGATCTTGTATTGCTGATCATTTTGTCTGTTTAGTTTCTCTCTATCTTCTTTAGATTTTGCTCAAAACACAGTGTAAAAAAATCATCAAGGGCAATCACTCCAATGAAGAGTATGTGACAGTCTACTAACTATATCGGCAAAATTTGACTTGTTTGTGGATCTTGCCATGCTGATCATTTTTGTTATTTAAAGTTTCTTTTTATCTATTATAAATTTTATCATATAAGGCAAAACGCAACAAAATAGGTAAAAATGGCTTTAAAGGGCAATAACTTCAATAAGGAGTCGTCGGAAAATTTCCTTTATTTGTCTAAAATGTAGATGTTGCAGATCATTTTTGCTTATTTAAGTTTCTATCTTTCTATTATGATTTTTAAGATACATGTATAAGGCAAAAACGCAAAAAATGGTAAAAAACGTCATCAAAGGACAATAACTCTAATTAGGAGTCGACTGACGATTTTGACCATGCATACTTATTTGTAGATCTTGTCTTGCTGATCATTTTTGCTGCTTAAAGTTTCTTTCTATCTATTATAGTTTTCAAGATAAAAGCCAATAAACTGCTTCGCAGAGTGCAGCTGGAAACGACCGCAGAGGTCCAACCCTGAACATTTCGGGCAAAAATGGACACAATATTCAAGCTTGATACAGGTTTGAATTCAAGGCGGGGTGTCTCAACATTGGATTTTGGGTACAGTTATGCTGCTGGGATTTAACCCCCCCCCCCATTCATATATTGAATAATTGTGAAATCCCTACCTATACATATATTTCACAGCGAAATCATAACCCATTCATATATTTATCAGCTCAAATAGTACCTAAATATATCACAATTGGCCAATTACTACCTATTGATATATTTCCTCGGTAAAATTGTACCCCATTGATATATCTGACGTATCAAAAAAGGGACCCATTCCAGCGGCACATATGTATATACTTTCATATAGGAAGAGACCCCCCCCCCCCCCGTGTCTGAATTTGGATTGTAATTAAATATTTGACACATTATAGGTTTCTGACACAGAATAAATGTAGTCAAAGAACTTGAAATTGGTTGTATGATTTAAATTTATATTCAATTGAAGATTGCAGTTGTGCAATACACTGTGCTGTTGCGCAATACTTAGTAAATCTGTTTTCAGACTATGTACAAAGAATTAGCAAAATAAATTGTGACCCCCAATTTTTTTCTTTGGAAAATTGACAATTTCTTAAATCTTGAGGAAAAAAAATTGACCCCCCCAAAAAATTTTTTGTTTACCCCCCCCCCCCCCCCCCTTTTCCAAAAAAAAAAATATTTGAAGAGAATTTCTTTTGAGGAAAAAAAATACCCTCCCTCCCCCTCCTTCCAAAAAAAATTAATTTTGAAAAAATTTAATTTTCTTTTTGTAAAATGTGGTACAAATTAAGAGAATTAAGAGACATCCATACACTTAAACACAAGTCTAGTATGAAAACTAGAAAAATGCTTGTTTAGACCCTTTTTGGCCCCTAATTCCTAAACGGTTTTGGCAATTACCTCCAAAATGAATCCCAATCTTCTACTTGTGGTATTGAACCTTGTGGTACAATTTCAGAGCAATCAAAATACTTATACACAAGTCATTGTCCTGAAACTAGAAAAATAAAATTGAGAATGGAAATGGGGAATATGTCCAAGAGACAACAACGCGACCAAAGTGCAGAAAACAGCCGAAGGCCACCAATGGGTCTTCCATACAGCGAGAAAATCCCGCACCCGGAGGTGGTCCTCAGCTGGTCCCTAAATAAAATAGACAACTTTCGAGTTCGATGCATTTCCGTCAAAAACTCTGGTTTTAGTGAACATCATTCGTGCGTTTAGGGGCATCGTCACTTCCGTTCCAATGTTGAGCGAGTGGTTGGAAAACTATAACGCTATATTGCACGAATTATTCGGCAAATTAAATTCTCATAATTGAAAATCAGCACTGCTGTCATTAGGGAATTGTGATTAAGTACTTACAAAACAAACGTTATTTCTAGTTTATCCTGCACAATGACGATCACTAAGACGCTTGATGAACGTTAATACTGCAGGGATACAGGCGATCCCCTCTATCTGGTAAATGACGTCATTAAGGCTATTTAAATTCGAAAAGGAGGAATTTAAAACACTTTTCCCAAAT